CTCACCTTATAAATGAGGCCTCACACTATAAGTGAAGCCTCACACTATAAATGAAGCCTTGCCCTATAAGTGAAGCACTGCCCTATAATTGAAGGCTTGCCCTATAAGTGAAGCCTCACCCTGAAAGTGAATCCTTGCCCTATAAGTGAAGCATGACACCATAAGCAAGCCATGCACCATAAATGAAGCCTCACCCAAATAGTGAAGCATCACCCTGTAAATGAAGCCTCACAATATAAGTGAAGCCTCACCCTAAAAGTGAAGCCTTGCCCTATAAGTGAAGCCTCACACTATAAGTGAAGCCTCACACTAAAAGTGAAGCCTTGCCCCATAAGTGAAGCCCCACCCTAGAAGTGAAGCCTCTCCCTAAAAGTGAAGCATCACAGCATAAGCGAGCCACGCCCAATAAGTGAAGCCCCATCCTATAAGTGAACCCTATAAGTCAAGCCTTGCCCTATAAGTGAAGCATCACAGCATAAGCAAGCCACGCCCCATAAATGAAGCCTCACCCAAATAGTGAAGCCTTGCCCTATAAGTGAAGCCTCACCCTAAAAGTGAAGCCTTGCCCTATAATTGAAGCATCACAGCATAAGCGAGCCACGCCCCATAAGCGAAGCCCCGATCTATAAGTGATGCATTGGCCCATAAGTGAAGCCTCACCCTAAAATTGAAGCCTTGCCCCATAAGTGAAGCCCCACCCTATAAGTGAAGCCTTGCCCCATAAGTGTAGCCTCACCCTAAAAGTGAAGCATTGCCCCATAAGTGAAGTCCCACCCTAGAAGTGAAGCCTTGCCCTATAAGTGAAGCATCACACCATAAGCGAGCCATGCCCCATAAGCGAAGCCCCGATCTATAAGTGATGCATTGCCCCATAAGTGAAACCTCACCCTAAAATTGAAGCATTGCCCCATAAGTGAAGTCCCACCCTAGAAGTGAAGCCTTGTCCTATAAGTGAAGCATCACACCATAAGCAAGCCACGCCACATAAGTGAAGCCTCACCCTATAAGTGAAGTCTTGCCCTATAAGTGAAGCCTCATACTATAAGTGAGGCCTCACCCTAAAAGTGAATCCTTGCCCTATAAGTGAAGCCTCACCCCAAAAGTGAAGCCTTGCCCTATAAGTGATGCCTCACAATATAAGTGAAGCCTCACCCTAAATCAGAAGCATTGCCCTATAAGTGAAGCCCCACCCTGTAAGTGAACCATATAAGTAAAGCCTTGCCCTATAAGTGAAGCATCACAGCATAAGCAAGCCACGCACCATAAGTGAAGCCTCACCCAAATAGTGAAGCATCACAGCATAAATGAGGCCTCACACTATAAGTGAAGCTTCACCCTTAAAGTGAAACCTTGCCATGTAAGTGAAGCCTCACACTATAAGTGAAGCCCCGACCTATAAGTGAAGCCTCACACTGTAAGTGAAGCCTTGCCCTATAAGTGAAGCATTGCCTTATGAGTGAAGCCATGCCCTATAAGTGAAGCCACACTATAAGTGAAGCCTCACACTGTAAGTAAAGCCTTGCCCTATAGGTGAAGCATTGCGTTATAAGTGAAGCCATGCCCTATAAGTGAAGCCACACTATTAGTGAAGCCTCACACTGTAAGTGAAGCCTTGCCCTATCAGTGAAGCATTGCCTTATAAGTGAAGCCATGCCCTATAAGTGAAGCCACACTATAAGTGAAGCCTCACACTGTAAGTAAAGCCTTGCCCTATAGGTGAAGCATTGCGTTATAAGTGGAGCCATGCCCTATAAGTGAAGCCACACTATAAGTGAAGCCTCACACTGTAAGTGAAGCATTGCCCTATAAGTGAAGCATTGCCTTATAAGTGAAGCTTTGGCCTATAAGTGAATCATCACACCATAAGCAAGCCACGCCCTATAAGTGAAGCCACACTACAAGTGAAGCCTCACACTGTAAGTGAAGCCTTGCCCTGTAAGTGAAGCATTGCCTTATAAGTGAAGTTATGCCCTATAAGTGAAGCCACACTATAAGTGAAGCCTCACACTGTAAGTGAAGCCTTGCCCTATAAGTGAAGCATTGCCTTATAAGTGAAGCCTTGCCCTGTAAGTGAAGCCTCACACTATAAGTGAAGCCTCACACTATAAGTGAAGCCTTGCCCTATAAGTGAAGCACTGCCTTATAAGTGAATCCTTGGCCTATAAGTGAATCATCACACCATAAGCAAGCCACGCCCCATAAGTGAAGCCCCACCCAAATAGTGAAGTATCACCTTATAAATGAGGCCTCACACTATAAGTGAAGCATCACCTTAAAAGTCAAGCCTTGCCCTGTAAGTGAAGCATCACAGCATAAGCAAGCCACGCGCCATAAGTGAAGCCTCACCCAAATTGTGAAGCATCACTTTATAAATCAGGCCTCACCCTAAAAGTGAAGCCTTGACCTATAGATGAAGCATCACAGTATAAGCGAGCATCGCCCTATAAGCGAAGCCCCACAGTATAAGTGAAGCCTCTCCCTAAAAGTGAAGCATCACCCTAAAGTGAAGCCTAATCCTATAGTCGAAGCTTTTGCCAATAATTGAATCCTCGCCCTATTAGCCTCATCCTGTAAGTGAAGCATCACTCTGTAGTGAAGCTTTGCTCTATAAATGAAGTCTCACACTAAAAGTGAAGCCTTACCTTATAAGTGAAGCTTCACACTATAAGCGAAGCTTTTGCTAAAAAGTAAAGCCTCACCTTATTAGACACACCTTATAATTGAAGCCTGGTCTCACAGTGAAGCCACATCTTGTGAAAGAAGCTTCGCTCTATAAGTGAAGCATCACCCTAATAGTGAAGCCTCATCCCATAAGTGAAGCCTCATCTGTAGTGAAGCCCTGCCCAATAAGTGGGCCTCGTCCTGTAAGTGAAGCCCCACCCTATTAATGAAGCCCTACACTATAAAAAAAGCCTCGCCCTATTAGACCCACCCTATAATTGAAGCCTCGCCACATAAGTGAATCTTTGCACTACTAGTGCAATATAGTAAAATATTATGTTACATACTCTATGTTATTGCGATAGACAAGATCTTTCTCATAGGTTTAAATCGACAGACATTGACTATATTTATATAATTTAGCACCTTCTTGCAACGAAGGGTTGTGGTTTATTGTGTTCTGGTGGAAACGAGTATTGAACTGAAGCAGGCTTTTACAGAATCAATTTAAAGCAGCCTTTTAAAGAATCAATTTCTCAAAATTCGCCAACAAATTTAGTCTTGTAAATTTACTCACAGGATGACAACACCTCTCTTTGCTGTGTTTTATATGAGTCAACTTTTCACAATTATAATTATTATAAATGTTTGGTAGGAATATACACTTAATATCAGAGAAGTGGATAACATATCGACGAGATATATATGACCGGTATATATATGCGTCAGTCTGTCATTCGCATCGCCACCACTTTCAAAAGTACACGACACAATTGAAAATATAAATAAACAAGTAGGCAAATAATATCTTAGTTTGAAACGTTTTATTGCCGTTGAATATTAGATGATAAATCATCACACTGTTTGATATACATTATATGAGACTACTAATCAGTTGACCTTATTAGTACATACTATTGATTATTACATATGCTGAACACTCATTGTACTTGGTGACAGTTTTTCTTACATTTCTACCAAAATGTTAGGGCAAAAAATAACACATTAATACATTCTAATTTCAGAGGATTATATTATATCTGTAATATATCTGTAACAACTGTGATAAGTGATTTTGGAAGAGGAAAAGGTTTTCAAGGCTCTTTGTTTATATCCCATGATGTACGATTGCCAATTATTACATCTTCTTTTACACCTTTTAACCACCTTGGAAGTCTTGGGGTAACACACAAATCGTTTGATTTTAAAATATAATAAAAAAAACACAGAAGGCACCTTACTAGCTAAGTACCTAAACTTACTAATGTCTCTACTCTGGTGAATTGTATTTGTCTTTCTTGTGACAAAACACTTTGCTTGAAGTTCCTTTGTGAAAATACCGAACCGAATCACTCAATTGCTACCCAATGCAGATTTAATCGACTACAGTTCCTCCTATAAATTTCCTTAAATATGTCCATAATTGTTTGAGTTATCTGGAGATGGTGTAAAAGCCTTCAACAAATCCTTATTTCCCTACCAATAAGATACAGGTCTCTTCTAAAATCAATTCAATGAACACATTTGAAATACAATTGAACAATAATTTTCAGAAGAGTCTTTGTTCTAAGCGCAATCGTCCTGTAAATCTGATGAACATTTTTGTTTTAGTTATTATATTTTACTGAGCACATTCGTTTCACATGCCAACTTGCACCCCTACATCAACCATACTGACACCTGAGATACTTTCTAAGCTGTTTTGTTTCTCTTTCTTCACTTTAAATTTTTCTACAGTTTTCATGCGGTTACTCAGTAATCCCCCCTTTTCCTTCAGGATGCATTTCTTGTAAACCCAATATAGGATAACAATTATAAATCCTTCTACCATCGCAAAAATGGTGTGGATCATTGGTATCGTCATCATTTCAAGCTGGTTGGTGTATCCCTGAAGTATGAGATAATTTATCAAACTCAAGGCGAGTGCTCCATTTTGAACTCCTGTCTCAAAAGCAACAGTTCTGGATTGCTTGGGCTTAAGTCCAAGTAGTCTAGATAGGAAATACCCAACGACGAATGCAGTAAAAGGATAAAGAGTGCCAACACACCATTCCCTCCAACCAGTAGCGAATATGGGAGGGAACACTACAACGTTGATTGTTATGAAGATGATAAGTTGGAAATTTACGATGATGTTCAAAACCTGAAAAAAAAAAAACAATAAATATAAAAGATGTTATATAGATCAATGCAGTTTGGAGTTGTAGCCTCGTGGTGCAAGTCATAGTAAACTTGTGTACCAACAACATATAGTGACATTTCCGTGTGAACAAGTATTTCTTCCCCATACTTACAAATGACAGTTTTTCGGAAAATCGTGGCCACTTCCATCGCACCAGCATACCAATACCGCCCGGTATGAGCATGATCGCCAAAGCAATCGCAATTTCCGCGGGTGATGGTATAATAACATCTGATATCGCAATCCAATATTGTGAATAGAGGAACAAACACCATGGCATCATACCAATTGCCAACACGTTGGAAACGAATGTCATACAGACACTGCAACAAGAATTGAGTATTTTACGCCCATTATGTCACAAACAAACAGTATTTTTATTTTTATTTATCTGTATTAATAAAACAACGATTACATATGACACCATATATAAATTAAGTGCCTACTTCTGATTACACTAAAGTAGTTTAATATATAGCCC